TGGGCATGGAATGAAGGGCATAGTGCCCTGTAAATCTGTAAAACTATAAACCATAAAACTATACAAAAAACATGTTTATGATTGAAAATTGTGTATAGTTCATTCATTTAAAAAGTACATTTTTAAAACAAGCATACAGGAGTCTCCATGTGGGAAGAAATAAAAATTTCATATGATGATGGAACTGGGATGGAATAAGAATCCCAGTGTGATTCTGAAATGCAACAAAAATGAGGCTGACAGATCCTCATTAATGTATTTCTTCCTCAGCAGAATTGCCTTTGTGGTAGTCTGCTGGCAGCATAAGTTTGGTAGGAAGCAAAGAGATACAGAAATGGAAGGGGCACATGTGACTTAGGGTCTTTGCAGACTGCCAGAAATAGTGCAAATTGAGTTCACTTCAAGGGTTAGGGTTAGTGCTAGGGAATTGTTTTTTTGTTTTGTTTTTTTCCCCTGAGACATTGAGCCTTCTCTGTCAGAGAGCTCTGGTGCCACAATAAAATACAGTTCCCATGATTCCCTAACCCTAACCCTTAAAGTGGACTCAATTTGCACTATTTCTAGCAGTCTGCAAAGGCCCTTAGTTCCTTTATGTAACCCAACCGTCTTAAATGCTGTCTTCTATTGCAGAAAGTACAGTGCCTAATAATGATCCTGCTCAGGACCGAAGAAAGCAGGAAGTACAAGTAATGTTAAATAATGTGGACCGTTGCCGGAAGGTGAGTCTGGGCACTAGTCATAGCACTATGGTTGGGTGAGGATAAGCCTCAGTAATGCCTGTGTCTTTCTATGGCTAAAACAGAGGCCATAGGGGTTGGTCCAAAATTTGCTGTGTCCCCATTCCCTCCTTCTTGGGCCTAAACATTGAATCCTCTCAGTTATCAGCAGTTCCTTCCCACAGGAAGTGCTGGCCCAGATCCATGAACAGCTGGGCCGTTCAGTGACTCTGAGGGACTTGCTACTGGAAGAAAGAGACGCGTGGAAAGATCGCCAGCGGCGTGCATGTATTGGAGACACTTGTGATACCAGCTTAGGACAGCTAGAGAAGTGGTACGTCTCAGAATGGCCCTTGCTCCTCATTGTTCTTAGGGCAGAGGACACTACCTGCCTAGAAAAAGTGTTATAGCTATTTGATAATAACTCCATGTTGCAGTTACTGTGAAATATTTGGGCCAATTAACTCTCAAGATCCCTCACAGTTGGAAATGTTAGTTGGCACTGATTGGATTTGCCATCCAAGACATCAGGGTGGGGGACATCAACTTGAGGAAAACTGTCTTTATTTCTCTGTCCACTAGAGCTTTTGAAAGTATCTCCTGTGCTTGATGTGCTATTTGTATTCGTGCCTCCCCAATGCATGCCTGTGCAGCCCAGTCCATCACTTCATTGACTGGCCTTCTTGACCCCTGTAGGACTCCTTTCTTCCCCACTCCCCCATTAACACATTCACCTGTATCCCCTGTCTGTGGTCCCCCTACTCTTGTTGATCCCCTTTGTGTGCTGCAGGTTCACCGCAAATGGTGAGGACCTCTTTCATTTGCTGCAGCAGTTGCGGACACTGCAGGAGTTGCAACAAAAACTGACCTATGACGAAGATCCTCTGATATGCGGATTGCCCCATCTAGAAAAGCGGCTGAAGGAACAAATTCTCCTCCTTTTGGAAAGGTGCTGGTGGGGTGGGGGGCGGCAAAGGACTCTGTTGATGAGGGCAAGGAAAGAAATAGGTTGTAGATACTAATATCTTCCTTCTCTGGTCTCTAGTGCCTTTGTGGTGGAGATTCAGCCTAACATGCCTTACCCTAATCGCCGGCCACTGGTGCTGAGAGCAAATCAGAGGTTTTCTGTACGTGCCAGGTGAGAGATGTCCTTAATAATCCAGCTGTAGCTCCTTTCTCCTGGTTTCCATTTTTGAGGGGAAGGGAGGTAAGGTGAGGGGGGAGAGAAAATGAAAGACATAAGGGGGACCAGAAGAATGACTGCATGCAAAGGATTCAGCTCCAGTACAATCCTGGTTGACAAACTGAACCAGCCTTTCTCAACCTTTTTACACTGAAGGAACCCTTGAAATACAATAATTTTTAGGTCTCAGGTAATTATTCTATCTATTCAGAAAGCACAAATCATTCCACTTCTAGTTGCATGGATTGTAACACAGTGCTTTTGCTTCTCTCCAGGCTCCTGGTGAAGCTGATGGATCGAAACAATCAGATGGAAGTGAAAATTGAGATTGACAGGTAGGGTCTTATGTCAAAGAAACCTAGCCTTCAAATGTTAGAGGTGGGTGGGTTGGAAATTGCCGCAGCACATTTGGGAAGGAGCTGACTTGCACTGACCTTTCTCCCCCCTCCTCTTTCTCTTTCAGGGATTCTACCAATCTGGCAGGGTAAGAAACAGCCATGGAAAGGCAGTGGAGAGCAATAAGCCTTTTGTTTTTGAGGGAAAAGGGTGACAGCATTTATTCATGTGTTAGATAGAGAAGGAGGGAGGAGGACATGAGACTCGTGTACTGCTGAACAGAATGAAGCTGGGGGAGCTGGTCATAGCACTATTTCAAAGCATGGCAATGGACCAGAGTGAAGACAACCCCTCCAGGTACACTCCATGAAGCCCCGACCACAGGGAAGCTCGGCCAGCATGTAAGTGAGGCCACATTAAACCTGAAAGGTGCATGTGAGCAGAACTGGAGGAATGCATCAAAACATACAGGTTTGTGAGGAAGTGGGCAGACTAGTAGGCATGCAGTGGAAATAATAAGTTGTGCCAGTCAGAGTACATGACTATCTGTGGCCACTAGAGGATGGCAACATGCCTCTGTGATGGATATGTGCTTGTTCTCATTTCTTAAAAATCTATTCTTTTTTATTTAAAGGTTTCGGAAGTTCAACATTTTGACATCAAACACCAAGACCTTGATGATGGATAAGCCCCAAGTAGATGGACTCGTTTGTGACTTCAAGCACATTGTACGGGTTAACTGAAAGGCCAGTTGGGCTGGAGACTCAACTTGGAACATAAAGGGGATGCACCATAAGTGATGGAATAAAGGGCTGAAAATTTGGATTTTTCCAAATTGAGGGAATTCTGGGAGTTGTATTCCAAAAACCCCAAAAAGTAACATTTCCAGTGTCTACAGATTTGTTCATCTTAAGCATTTATTTGAAGTGATTAGTGGCTTTACCAAACTGTCATAATGTATGGCCCAAATACAACCATTTATTTAGTCAGTTTTTCTGTTGGGACATGTGCTCAGTTTTTATTTGAGAGTACATGTTTTTAGAGAGTACATGTTTTTTCTTCTTATATTTTTATATGCTATGAACACCACACACTATTTCCCTTCCCCTTCTTCCTTTTCTTTTTATTATCTTCTTCCTCTTTTTTTTCTAGGGTTTTTCTTTTTCCATTTCTTTTTAGTTATTAGTGATTAAATTGGAAAATTGCCAAGGGAGAGGTCACAAGCAAACATTATATAGTGGTGTGTGGTAAGATATTCTGATAGGGCCATTGCAGCAAAAATCAGAATATACGAAATCTAATTGATGGAATGCGTTAAAATCGCAAATTATGTTCTCATTTTTGTACTCATCAACAGTACTGTGGAAAGCAGAAGCAGGTTCAGTGCCTAACTTGGGTAGAATACTGTGTTTGTGGTTTTTCTTTTATCTTACTTAAGAAACAGGAACTTAAAAAAAAAAAAAGACAAAGAGGATGAGAGAACCTCACAATACCCAGACCCATATTAGAAGGGAACAGAACCCTAAAATTTGTGTTTCCCTTGGTTACTTAACTGGGTGTAGTCCAGTCATTAATATTCTATCTCCTCATTTGGATTTTGTGTACCATCTACAGACATTTTCCTGAGCTGAGTAGCTTCAAAGCTCATTTAGCCTGATTGAATCTCTTTAGGTTGCAGTCGTCTACCCTTAAAACCTAGGTATAAAATGCCTCATTGAATGTATAAGATGGTGCTGTTTGACTCTAAATCATTGGGAGGTGGTTTTCTTCTTCTCCTTCTGCTAACCCCTTTCTGAGAGAGAAGTCCCTAGGGAGGGGAGTGTGATGGATTGGAGGAAAGTACAACTGCTTCCTTGGACAGAAGGGGTTCAAGAGGGATTTGTATGAATTTTGCTCATAGCCAGGTTATGACTGAGCACTGTGAGGGGGGCAGAAAGGAATTTCCTTCAAGCCAAGTGGAAGTTTCTGACCAGCAGTCTAGGATGGGGTCTTACACCACTATTGAATGATAATCCCTCCCTTCACTTGGATGATGGGCTACCAATACAGTGAGTCTCCCTTATTCGGAATTCTGAAATGCTTTTCCTTTCAGTGGTTGAGTGCACACAAACTTTGTTTTATGCACAAAATTATTAAAAATACTGTGTATAAAATGAACATTAGGCTACGTGTATAAGATGTATAAGAAACAAATGAATTTTGTGTTCAGAATTTGGTCGCATCTTCAAGATAGGTCATTATGTGTATGCAAATATTAAAAAATCTGAGAAAAAATCCAAAATACTTCTGGTTCCAAACATTTTGGATAAGGGAGACTCAACCTGTACTACAATGAATTCTACTCTGCCTTTTTTTTCATAAATGGCTTGAGGTAATAATTATGTTTTACAGGTATTTTTATTATTAATTACTACTCAATAATTATCTTTGCAAGAGCCGTCATGCTATAGTAACTTGAGTGTTTGACCTGGGTCCAAATCCCACTTGCCCAGGGAAACCCACTAGGTGACCTTGGGCAGGTCACACACTCTCAGCCCAGGAGGAAGGCAGTGACAAACCTCTGAAGAAATCTTGCCAAGAAAACCACATGAGAAGATTGTCATAAGTTGATGTCAACTTAAAGGCACATAACAACAATTAGTTGTTGTTTGTTGTTGTCTGTCTTCAAATCATTTCCAACTTGTGGCAACCCTAAAGTGATCCTATCAAGGGTTTTCTGGGGTTGAGAGTGTGTGACTTGCCTAATATCATCCAGTGGGTTTCCATGGCCAAGTGGGGAATCAAACCCTGGTCTTCAGAGTCATAGTCCAATGCTCAAACCACTATACCACTCTCACTCTCAATAACAACTACCTTTATTTTTGGTGGCTAATTATCATAATTACCTTCACAGGTATCTTGATTAGTTGCAGGTGTTCTGCTTTACTTTGACATTTGTTGTCTGGCCTGCACAGATCAGTTTTTCAGAAGCATGAGGATATAGCTTCTGTGGTTTATGTGGCAGTGGCTTAGCCTGAGTAGCTTTAAGTGACTTCCTCTGATCATTTATGCATGTTGTATCTTCTCTTCTCTTGGTAGTCACTGAAAGAGCAGAAGATCATTGGCTCTGGGAAGGGCAAGGGAGGCAAAGGGATCAATGAGGTAAGTTGCCCTGATAAGCAGGAGGCCCTAGGCTATCTTCCCATGCTGCCAATGCAGGGCTGAGGAACTGAGAAGTTGTTGGACCTAGTTCCTGTCAATCCCTGCCAACCAGGACAAATAAGGATGACGAGAGTCTGTCAAACAGCTATAGGCTCACTGGTTCCTTAGCTGTGTGCTCATGAATATAGAGCATAAGGACCAAAACTGGAGCTAAGGCAAAGAACTTTTGTGGTCCACCCAGAAAACTTGTCAAGCAGCCATGGTTCCCCATGCCTGTCTCTAACATTGAGATTCCTTGTCACTTGTCAGTTAATCTGGTTCTCTTATCACCTGGCCACAAGTGCCCAATTCACAATAGAAATTGAAACTAAACAGACAGATTTAACATCAACACTCCACTTAAACATTAAGTCTTAAGTCTTGGAGTCCCTTAGCTTGTTTACGTTTGAGTTGGTGTTCTGCCCAGATTTAAGCTGCCAATAGGCTCAATAATAAATATGCACACACGTTCTAATATGTCTAACTTTTGCATTATATCTTATATCCTATATACTGTACTCCATAGGTTACTTTAAGTTATGTTCTGTACTTTATAAATTTATTCTCAGACTTCAGAGTTAGCAACCAAAAACATGGCCTATAACACTTGTATTGTGGGGTGGCTGATCTAAATTCAGCAGATTAATAGCATTTCCTTTCTTTGCATAGTAGTGGTAAGGACACTTTTGTGATTAAAAATAAGATATAATTCCTGTACGTAGACAAACACCCTTTTATTGTGACTGTCATGCTCTCCTCCCCACCAGCTTTGAATTCCCCATGGAATTGAAGAGATAAAGTCCTGGAGCCCTTTGCTGAGTGTTTGGGATAACTGTACTCAGAAGGTTCAGCAGCCCAGCACAGAGGGAGGTGGAATTTTTCCATATTGACTCACCTCATGGCCGTGTCACTTCTCCTCTATATGTGAATATGACAAATATCTCTTAGCCTTGGTTTTCCCATCTGTGAGAAACATCAGGCCTATACCTCATAAGCTTGTTAGGAAAGCATAAGGATGAGGTTTATTTGTATTTTTGTAACTGCTCAGTATATTTCAAACTGTAAGTGCTGTGTGGTAGCAAATTACAGAAATTGCTTGTTTGAGCAAATACATGTGACACCTAAAAGACAACAAGCAGATACACTGTATTGCACTTGTGTGCCCAGGGGTGAGCCCAATTCTGCCAAATGAAGATCCACACTCAGAATTGAATAGAAAAATGGCCACAGCTATTTATTGATTGCAGCTGCAGTTAGTTGGCACATGCATGGGATTGGATCCAAGCATTGACCTGCCCAATGAGACCAGCCTCTGCTGGAGAATGAAAGTGGAGCAATGGGAACTTGCCCAAACAGAACTCCTCCCAGAAAGATCTCCTATGCCTCCCTTACAGTGGTGTTCCCAGAAATGTGCCAGCCATTTCTGCTGCACTCTCTACCCCGTAGCAATTTATGCTGCTTCAGCCAACCAGAATGAGGACTGCAGGGGTCCCAGTCAGCCAGTGAGCAGACAGACCGCTCCCCATTGGCTGGCCATATCTTTAGCTCTGCCTTCCCTGGGGTCACTGGGCCCCCTGGGAAGAAGGCAAGCTGGCACTGATACATGTGGTGCTGTCTGGCCAAAGCTTGCACCCCGGGACCAGAACATTTGTCCATGGTTAAGAGCCCACACCCCCATTTTCTGGCCCTTTCACACACTCCTTAAACTCCTTTTCTCCACTGTACTGGTGTGGATAATTTGTCAACTAAAAGTAACATTATATTCATCTAATCCACAAAAGTTAATGCCCCTATGGTGCCATGTAAACACACACACACACACACAGAGAGAGAGAGAGAGAGAGAGAATGGACAGTCAGAGAGGTAAGTGTTTTACTTCCTTTTCTTCATTCATTCACATTCTCTCCCTGTCTCTCTCTCTCTCTCCTTCTTCTTCTTCTTCTCCATGAAGGGAGGGCTGTCTGTCTCAGAGGAGCTGCATATCATCACTTTCTCCCTGGACTATTGTTACCAAGGTTTCAAGTGCCAACTGCAGGTATGAGGACCTCAATTTATTTTATTTATTTATTTTAAAGTATTTCTTTATTGCCTCCCAGCCCTCAAGGGCTTCTGTGGTGATGAGCAAATAGAAACATATTAATGCAATAAGACATTTTAAAAACAAATTAAAAACACACTTGATGGCACCAGGATTGTTGAAAGCAAACATGCTTGGGTTGGGCATCTCGCAAATACATTTGACTTCTAGCTGCTGACCAATTAGGGGCTCATTCCCACTTACATTTAACCTGGTTTGTGATTCACTTTTGCTCTGGGTCAGTGAATTGATTGCAGTCAATGTGTCGTTCCCACTATGGAAGTGGGTCTGTTCTTTATTTGCTTCTTTTTTGGCACAATTGTTTTTCCCACTAGTTTGTGCCCCTTCAAAATGCCAGTCAATCATCTACGCATCATCGGTGACACAACTGGCAACACATTCAAGAAAACATGGGAGGGAGTCATGGGTGCCATGGCCAGAATTCTCCCCTGGGATGCATGCAGCTATGAGTGTCATATGGAGGACTCTCCCCTGGGATGCATGCAGCCTTGGGTGACATGGAGGACTCTCCCCCAGGATGCATGCAGTTTGAAAAAATTGACAGTATATGCACTTCATTGTTTTTGCAAT